GCAGTCCTGGATGGTGAGAGGAATGTCCGACTGCCAGTTTAGGCCCAATCCTGGTGGAATTGGGCCTAAATGGACAGTCGGACATCTCTCGAGGGGTCCCCAGATTAGAGAGGGTGCAGGTTGGGCTGAGGGACATGCCCCCCCCCGTCCCAGTGCACGATTTTCATGTACCGGGCCTCTAGTATTTTATAATGATCCAGAAATACCTTACAGGTTATGATGAGAAAGAATTGCCTCACAGTCCTAGTGAACAGAGAATATTCAGGTGAGACAGTCATGGAAGGAAAACAACACGCACATGCCTACGATAGCTGTGCTCTCACATTGAAATTGAACAAAAAGACTTGGATATAGAAAGTTCAGGACAAGCAGTTGTCAATGTACAGTGGCCCATATGGTTACAGCTTACATGTGAGGGACCCTCAGGGTGAGCCTGCCATGGGAGTGTCCCTTTCATCCTCATCGGGGAGGAAAAACGGTCCCAGAACCCCCTGTTGGTATTCAGAAGCTATTTTCTGATAAGTACATGGTTCTACAGCATGATTTAGCTCCTGGTCAGCCTGCGAACCCAGTCACCCTGTTGAACATTGTTTCTATTTTTTAAAAAAAATGCAATTTAAGCTTCAAAAACTGACTTTTAGAAGAAGCACAGAGGTTGCCTGTATGTCACGCTGAAGTGGGATTTTATATCTCCATTTAAAAGTGAATTGAATTGTAGTTATGACCTTGGACATGACTGTTCAGCTGACATTCCCTGCATTTGAATAAAGGATTTTAGATGTGGGCAATATAGTCATTTACATGCATACCGCTAGTTGGCTTGATCTTTACATTCATTTTAATTGAGAAGACATTAGTTTAACATTTCTCTTGAGTTCCAGTAACACATATCTAACTAGTAGTCCTTCAGGATCATTTTACAAGGTCAAGCGGTCCCTGTTTTCCCCCACCTGACTCACTGGAAGTGTGATTCCTAATTTAGTTACCTTCAAGGACTATGATCATGGATAGTAGATGCACATCCTGTGCTCTGGAGCAAACTCAGGGACAGACGCATTATGGGAGATGTCCCTCTTGATCTCATCTCTATTTCTGGGGCAGCATCAGCAATGCATGCTTTCAAGAATATTGATTCAAAGGAGGGTTGTAAGGTGGTGGGTGATAGGGAAGAAAAGGAAGTAGAACTGTTGCAAATAGTGTTTGTTGCAATGGATTACCTGCTGGGACAATGAACCATGTGCTTAGGCCATTAAAGATATTTTAATGAAAACTTCCAAAAAGAAAAGGAAAATTTTCTTTGAAGATTTTTATATGTGATAGTTCAAAAAAGAAGCATCAAAGTGGTCATCTTGGGGAAAATAAGAACTTTGCAGGATCAACTTTGGACTTTGGTGTTGTTTTTATTTTGAATTACCTAGAGGCGAGGAGGAATACACTGTAATCCCTTTGGTACTTAGGGCTGTACGGGCATCCAGCTGCCCCGAGTGAGTGGGCAGGGGAACGAGAGCTCCTGGGGACTCCTTGGTCTCCAGTTTTGCATGATGCCTTGGTGGCAGCAGCATTGCACCCGCCCAGTGCGCAGATTAAATGCATGAGCCTCCTTGCTTGATGCCCCACATGAAACCAGACCATGGGGAGGTTGCAACCAACTCTTGTTGCCTTGTACAAGTGTCTTGCTGGTTCTTTCTTTTCTCTTTTGAAACATCAAAACCACTTTTTAGGAGACTGGACACTGTGAGCGAGGCATTTTAATGTTCCTTTCAACTAAGCTAATCTGCTGCATTTGCTTAACTAACCTGAGCCTGTGTCCATTCTCCTCAGAGTGTACTATCTCCCTGTGCACTCTGATCTTCAACTTTCTAGACATGAAAAATGCTTGTTCCACAGCGTGGTAAGAACTCACACAGCCAAGGCAGCACAGTCACTTAGTAGAACAAGGCGTTTTGCCATCTTGGCAAAGGCCGATCAGCTGATACTGAACTCTCAGGTCTGGAAGGAATCAGCTACAAGACCTTCAGAGTTCTAATAGCCCCCGAAATGGAAGAGCCCTCCATATAATTATTTTGATCCAGCTACAATTAGCTATGTCAGTTATTTCTGAAATAAGAGACAAATTGGGCTCCTGAGACTTCCAGCGATTTCAAATGAACAACTTGAAGCTTCTTTTGATCTTCACAAATGAATGTATTCCAGTGGAGATGTTGTCAAGACATTCAAAAGTATAAGAGGTTCTGTGTTTCAATTTCGAGTTATTTTGGAAAATCTGCCTCAGTGTGAGTTGATTACTTTGCTCTGGAAGTAGTGTTGTCATTATCATCACCCTCCTCTTATCATGATCTGACTAATATTGTGGATTTTCCCCCCTCCGCTTGCATCTTCTTTTGACGCACTCGGGAAGAAATGTCAAGAAGAGGAGGTTCGATCCTAGTCAGCAAGGCCCCATCTGAATCAGCTGTGGCGGATGAACGGTGCCTCACACTGTTGGATTCTGGATGTGATGCGCTTTCAGCAATGTTGCCGGAACTGTTAAGTCTGTAAACAAGAACACTGGGTGGTCATGACTGTAGAACTCAAGTTGGGGTGACCGGGATGAGGTCAAAGAAAACTGTCCTTTTTGGAAATCATTTCAAAGAACTCCTCCCACCACCTGTCAATAAAAGGGGGGGCGGGGGCAAAAGACAATGTTCTAAAAAGAACTGTTTCAGAATCTCTTTTTTTTTCTAAAGGAAGAAGGAACAACAACAAAAATTAAGTGCAATAAATGAACCATTAAAGATAGCAAATGATTTTTTTTTTCTTCCTCAGCCTGCTGGCACTTAATATCTTCTAAATGATCTGGCATGATTTCTTTTCTCTTTTCCTACCAATGACACACTTCAGTGGCATGAAGATCTAATTTTCGAAAGGGTAAAATCTGCATGGCATATCTACAACAAGCAGCTAGCAAGCCAATCCGCAGCCAAACCTGCAACTGAATTCCTAAGGTGGAGATGACAGGTGAACATGAGGAAGCTGCCTGGCCCCGCCTCCTAGTCTAGACCAAGCCACCAACTCCCTGCGCTCCTTGATTCATTCTTTCATTCAGTTTCTCTTGGACCAGGCAGCCATGGGACATGGGAGCTGGGACTTGAGAGTGGATACTATTGTAAAGTTCTTTTATAAATGTAAATATGGAAATAAGAGATCTTGACACATCCTGTTCACTTGTCTGTATTGAAATATTTTTCTTGTAAAGGTTCTCTGTGAATTTGAGTTCATTGTTTGCTCCCCATCTTTTTGGTTCCTCTTCTCCATTTCTTTGTCTCTGCCCTTTTCTCTTGTAACATGTTGTACAGTGATTGTTGGGCTTGCTTAAAAAATAACAGATGTGGCCACAGATGCAAGGAGTTTGGGCACAAAACAGGTGCAATTTAAGAATGAAATGTTTGAATCAAACAAAATGCTTTGAAACCAAAAATCAAAGATGAGGGGAACACACAACAACAAAATAACCCACATTAAAAACCCAAAAATTATGTAAATGCAAATACATGTACTGGTAAGTCTCAAATTTTTTTGTTGTCATTATAAACATATGTATATAATGTAAGAAAGTAGACACCCTTTCAAATTAATCACTGAAGTGCCAAGCTCATGATGTTAGTGTTTGGTTTTGACAATTTTTTCCCCCGTCTTCAATGTGAAAGGAGGATAAACTTAAAGCCTTAAATTAAAAAAATAATAATTTTTCAATGTTGAAAGCTTGGGAAAAGGTTAAGCTTTACATTTTATTCATATCTATTACTATCAATATTTCATTCATGCCTCATCCTCCTGCCTCAAAATATATATGGTAGAACCCCACTGTAACACTGGTGATGAGACAGAAACATCAATCACCTTCCTATGAGCGCTGCTGGAATAGCCTTTACTTCTGTGTGTTGTGTTTTCAACAAGCCTTGTTGGGCCCACGGTGTGCTGCCGGTCTGTGAATAGCTGTGCTGGCTCACAGCGGGGTTCTGCTATACATACAGATTCACCTTCTTTTCCCTCCAGGAAGATTTGCAGATGTAATCTGGATTCCCAAGTCCCTCTGAGTTTAGTTCACTTTCACTGAGGTTCCTTCTTCCATAAATAAGCTCATGATCACTTCCGATCAAGTGTTGTATACATTAATAGAGAAACTTGGTCCCAGCTTTGTTTTGAATATAAAACGTGTGCATGACCCATTCAGTGAGTGTCCATCTAGAGATGAGCTTTCCTGGAGGCTCCAACATACCCATACTTCTCTAGCAACCTCCTCCTAGGAACAGAACATCAGTTATACTATTCACTTCATGACAACCACGTCAGTGAGCTTTAAGTCCCTTTTCAGCACGTTTCATGACACTAGTCTCACAACCTTGGCTTTGACTTTGGAAAGGATTATGTCCTCAAAATGTGCTCTTAAAACAGTGCAGTTTTTCATATATATGTAATTTTCTTTCTTTCCCCCTTTTTTCTCTCCCGTTCCCCTCTTCCTCTCCACCCTCTTTCCCATATATTTTTAATCCTGGAGGTAGCACAGTCCTAGAGCAGAAACTTTACTTTTTATCTGCTACAATAGACCATAACCTAACATCTTCCTCCTGCTGTTGCTTTCTGAGTACTAGGTGCTACACAGGTACGCAGTCTTTTTCTAGAGCTAGCTGTGTGTGTCTATTGTGCTAACAGGGTTCTTTCTCTACAAGGTAGACCAGCCTTCTTCTTGGCTTTTTAAGACACAGGTTGTACATATCCCTTCCCTAGCGGCCATGCTCTTTCACCTTCGAGGAATTCAGATTACTCAGCATCTCTTCCTGTTGTTGCATTATTTCCGTCTCTGTTGCTGGATCCTACTCACTCGTGGATTCTCAGCCACTGCTGAGTTTACCATGTACATTTCACTGCTCTTCCAGAGGCACCACGTGACTTAATAGAAACACAACCATGGTGGTTACAAAACAAGTTAAATCTTTATCATTAACTTTTGAGCATTTCACAAACAACATTGTAAATGTGCGATGTTATGTTTTAAATAAGAACACAGAG